TTCGGAGCTACTGGATTGTTAAAAAAATCTAGAAAATCCCTAAAGGAGCCTTGTTGCACGCAGCAGCTGGAGAAACTTTCAGGTTAGGCTGATTCACACCGAACAGAGAAAACGTCTTCTGTTCACTGAAAGTCCCGTCGGGTCAGTTTCACTAAAGAGCGGTCTCATTAAGTGCTCGTTATTTTTCACCAAACTTACAAAGAAAATGGAGGGACAACAGGAAAGCGAGCCAGGTTTTTCCCATAAAAGCTTCCTAAAAGTCTGCTCGTCCTGTTTATTTCACACCATGTTGTTTCCTGTTACTAATAACCCAACCCATCCCATTTGTGGTAACCCATAGGGACATTCTCCACGCGCAAAATCAAGGGCCGAATTGAAGCGACGAGAGAAAAGATGCAGTGTGTGAGCGAATGTCATTCCAAATATGTGATGGCATTACTCTTAATCACTGTCTCGCACAAACAAACCTCCTCTCCAGTTTGCGAAACCACTGGAACCACATCCTGGTGTTTTTCAACAAAATGCTAACCTGGTGACAGCTCTCGAAATGTTCCGCGGCGTTACATTCTGCTGTGATGTGTTGTGTAATTCCCAAAGCCGGCAGTATCATCTATCAGTGAGCACAGCATGACAGAAGATGGAGGTGAACTAAGGAGGAGAGACAGAAGGAGGAAAGGAGAAGTTTTGTTGGGCAGCATCCCTGTGGCTTGGACACACGTTATGTAATCCGCGCATTGGGATCTGGAAAACAGAAAAACAGGAAAAGAGGTCAGTGATGTGTGTCCTTGCAGAAAGACGGAGTGCAAAACTCCTCCGACAGGAACCGGACTGCACAGCCAGATGTAGACGTGTAAATTCACAAGGATAAATGTCAAACATAAGAAACGCACAGGTGATTTGTCACAATTAAACTCATGTAAACCTATATGCTGTGTAGCCGTAACACCAAATCCATCACGCTCTGCGGGTTCTCTGCTCTCCCACTGTTTAAATCTCTCAGATGAATATTGGGAAAATCGTTCCAACACACACCAACGGTAAATCATTAAACACACACACACATACGTCCATGGCCTGCTGGATAAGTTCTACCTGTTCAGCTCCCACTTGGTGATTTAAAGCGATTGCTTCAGCAGAGAAGCCTCTCAGCGCAGATCTTCTCCCACGCATGTTCACAGCGAGTAAATCCGTCAGATGCATTTATCACAGGAAATGTGCCGTTGTGTTTGGGGTGCAGGGAATTAGACTTTACAAGACATGAAGTTTATTTTTAAAGATGTTTTTCTTGTCTTCTAATTAAACAGCTGATGGAGTGCTTTTCACTTTTCCCGGCAAAGCTCACCTCAGATCCGACTAGCGTGGAGAGGCAGCAGAAAACGGTTCTAACCATATTTTCTAGAAATCTATTTAACAATTATTTAATTAAATACGCCATGAGATGACACCTAACTTAGAACAAGCACATGAAGTTCACTGAACCCTAAAGAAGTCTTTCTCAACCAGGATGACATTAATAATTGCCATTGCCAGAAAGTTTTGCTGTGTCCCCCGAGGAAGTCTCAAGATCATGGAGGAGCTTCCAGGAGCTTTGAGAGGACAGGCTGCTACTCTAGGAGAGCTAGACGGGGTCTTTGGAGTTTCATAACCCATCAGCTGGGCTGGTTACTGCTGTTTCGTCAAGTAGGAACAGGATGAGTGCTGCAAGCCTCCTATAAAGTCACCTCCAAAGGACCATCGTTGTGAATCCCTCTGATCAAATCAATAGACAGTCATCATGAGGATGGCTGAAGACCACTGAGCATCAATAAAAAAACACAAGAAGAAGAAAAGAAGAATCTAGCTTTTTTGTTGGCATCACATCAAAGCCTGGAAGTAAGAGAAAGAGAGTAATGTCTTTGGAGGCGCATCAAAAAGCTAAAGCCTGAGGGAACATCAGCACGTCCTAAACTCGTTTGAGGGAGCTAAAGGAGGCTACCAACTCACGAGCCGATGGTGACCTGGCTTTGTTGCTGCTGGACTTGTAGGTAGTATTGTTTTTTATCCAAAAGTGTGGATCTTTTTACTTTGTGGCATATTCACTATCAGTTGGCTCATGTTAATGTTAGCTCGTAGCTAAAGCTAGCTACAGCAGATGAAATTCCTCTTTTAACCAGTAGGAGGGAAAAACAGGGACACTTATGTAGAGTTGCTTTGAGGGCTGGAATATACTTGCTTTTAATTACGCCTACATGTGTTTATCATGGCTGCCTCGTGTAATCTGCGTCTGAGGCCTTTTGTGCATGTCTTCTAAAATTAACGAGACGCGTTTGCAAGCGGCAATATGTGATTAACCAGTAGGGAAGTTGAAAAAACAAGCAAAACATACTCGCCGTTGTAATGCCGTCTCTGGTTTGGACGTCTTTGAAACATTCTGTGATAGAGCTGCTGTCTTTTTTCTGTCGTGATCTCAGAATTAACCAGTTACTGATCTCTTCTATTGGCGCCATGTTTGTTTGGTTGTACCCAACAGACCCGGGTCTCTATCCAGGGTGGGGGTTCTACTGAGCCCCCTTGTGGAATACTCCAGCACCACATTCGGTGCAGTAGCAAGTAAGTGAAAATCAAGGCAAGGTTAAAAATCAGTTATACTCCTGGCCTAAGAGTTTTGTTGGTTGACCATTTTCTGTTTCATCAAAGGATGCAACATTCCTTTGTCCTGAACACATGATCTGTTCCATATAAAGTGGATGTTCATGAGTTGTTGAGATCTGATGTTTTAAGTGTTCTTTTAACTTTTCTAAAGTGTCCTAAAATAGCACCCAGAGAGATTTCCACATGAGCGCTAGAAGATGCAAATTTTAACGTTTTCCAATAAGTTTTTTCTTAATAATGTAAAAAAAGTGAAGATGTTACACAAACAGCAATTACATTAATCCACTGCTGCAAAGGAAATCTTTTGTTAAAATCTAACATACAAAACTTTAAATTTCATTCATTTTTTTCTGGGTTTTAGTCACTTTGCTTAAAGAGTTTATTTTAAAACATTTCAGATTTGATTGCAGAGTTCTTACATTCCCTCTTTAGCTGAGAGGGTTTAATGTCAAGGTCAGAGCGTTTCGTGTGAACCCGCCAGGGATCCTGTCACATCAGGTCACGGGGGTGCCTGACCTCAGGCTCTAATCACCAGCAGCGGCTGAGAAAGTGCAGGAAGTCACTGCAGAAGCAGAGGAACTATCGCAGTCAGAATATGCTTAGTTAAAACATTCTCTCCTTGGCAAAAAACGGTTCTTTTTGGTTATTTTTGGGAGCTTTTGTGACAAATCTGCTGTGTGCTGCTGACTTAGCATGTGTTGCTGCACATTAACAGATAAAATGTGAAAGAAGAAGTTTTCCACAGGAACAGTGACTTCTTTCCACAGTAAACGATCCAAATAGACGCTTATTTATTTGATGGACTACTGAAAGTGGAAACAAATTTGTCAATCAACAAAAGGTTGTTTTCCAAAGCGGAAAGAAAGTGCTGTGGCTAACCTTATTCACCTAATTGTGTACCGCAGGCCAGTTCAGTTATTGGAAGAAGTTAGTGAAGGTTTGCTAGGATTGTGGAAAAAACAGAGAGCATGAGGCAGACCCAGAGAAGTCTGGAGGGGTTCTTTAAACCCGGAACAAATGTTGCACACAGAACAAAACGGGAAAGTTAAAGATAACAAAACAGTTCAAAGACAGGATCACAAACGCAGCTAAACATTGTAAAACTGTGTGAACCTTTTTCCTTTCAGAAAAACTGAAAATCTGAACACACACGCCAGCCAGGATGCATGCTGGGAAACGCAGACATAATTCTACAGCTTCTGGAGCCTTTTGGGGAGGCAGTTTGATTACAAGGAACCTCATGCATAATGAAAAAATACATGAAAACGCAATTAACAGTAAAGCACAGAACTTTAATGCAGAAGGAATCAAATGCATCAAAGACGAAAGTAAACTTTTTGTGTGAATGTTTTACGCCAGATGTCCAGAGTTCTTCTGCAGAACACCATGAACTACTGTTTCAAATCCACAAAAATATAGATTGTTTCACACTTGGAAGCAGTATCTAGAGAGCTAAAATCAATGCAACAAAAACCCAAAACATCAATCAATAAAATCAAACGGCTGTTATGTTTCTAAAGTTCTCAAAGTGAGCGTTTGTGGAAGGTGGTATTCATATCTGGGATGTACTTCATGTTTTTTTCCACAGCATTTAAGTATTTGGGACATGAAAAACATTCCAAGGATTTTGAAAAGTTCTGGCAAAGGCTTGAAAATTTTAATCCACTGACTCTGGCTTTGAGGGCCGATGCTTATTTCAGATTTTTGTAAGATCCTCGTGGGTTTAAAGAACTAAATGTTAAAGAAAATGTTTTATTGTTATTTCCTTAGAAAATGTGATTCAGGGAGTAAACCACATCCCCTAAATTAGAGATTAATTAGGAGAATGTCACATTTACGTGGTCTGCGTTCATGGTCCAGACTGAAGTGGTAGATCAGGTTATGGGGGTTAAAAAAGGTCACGCTTATAAATAATAATAATAATAATAAACACTGACTGATGAAGCAGGATGTCTGTGTGATAAGATCTCAAGCAAAAATAAAGAAAAATCAGGATGATCCGTTTTGTTTACCACTTAGTAATTGATTGCAGGAAAATAATGATTCACGCTTCTTAATATTAAGCAGAGATCCTCTGGCTAAATGTCCTCTGGGACATCACATCTGCATGTCTGATTTTAGCAGACACCCTGCCATTGTTTGTTTGTTTTTCCTTTTACTGATTTATTATTGCTGCTCAAAGGAGGAAATTATAACATCTCTGTGGAGCAGAGTGCAATAACATGTCTTCTTCTGGCTGCAAACGGAGCAGCAGAGAAATATTTTACTGCCAGTTTAAAGAAACATTTGCTCTGGCACGTTCAGACCCACTAACATTACTGGTGTAAACAAACTGGAGCTGGTGTTGAGCAAGATTCCGTGCAGCGCCGCAGACAGATGCGGAGAGACGTGATTGGTCCGTCCCGGTGGGAGTTTCCGCATTCCGCACGGAGCGGACGGACTGCAGGAGCGCAAGTGGCGGAAGGGCAGTCGCGTCTTTGAAGAGACTCTTGAGTCATTCCCAGGGGGAGTCAAGGAGCGCAGCCAGGAAGCAGGAATGCCTTACCTGCTCATCAGCACGCAGATCCGACTGGTGTGTATCTTCAGTTTTGGCGTGAATAACTTTTATTGGGTTAATTTGAAAATTAACGCTCTTTTTGAGAATTATATTTAATCTAAAGGCTATTGTAAGTCCGCACGTTTCTGAGAAAATAGACAAAACTCTCAAAAAGGATCAAGAAATTATTTTCCCCCCAAAATAAAAACACATGTTGCCCGTCTCTCCGTCTGTTTTGTTCCTCGCGTTCATTTTCCTGACTGCTGGAATCCTGCAGCCTTAGCCTCTTGAGAATTAGATGATCTATTTTTAGTCTGCACAGATATTAGAGATCATTATTCTGTCTGGGGGGGTGCAGCCCTGGCTGCACAAATAACTACGTCCATCCTTATCAAGCTACGTGATCCAACTCTTTTGTTTTGTCTTTCAGGAGAGCGGTCCAACAAACGTAGGAGATGAGTTTTCTGATCCAGAGGTCATGAATTACCTGGGAGCAAGAAAAACAACCATGCTAGGAAACAACTTGTGAGTTACTGATGCAGATTTAGGCAGCAGGTGTGTTGTATACGTGCTCTCGTTGCCAGATGTTTCTCCAACTTCAGCTGTTCAAATGAGTGTTTCTGTCATTCTGGCAGTTGAAACCATACATGTTGACAACAGAACTCAGATAGAATCAAAATGGAGCAAGAAAAAAGTTACTCAGGAAAGCCTGTGCTTTGCAGATTTAGAATAAACCATTCAAAGTGATGGAATACAGATCAGGGACATGTTGTCATTGGCAACCTGATTCAGATCCTGCTGGGAAATAAACCAAGGTGTGGAAGGAAGTGAGCGAGCACCAGAACACTTACCAGCGATATATTTTCTAAGCAATGTTTTGTGAAAGAGAAAAAAAATCTGACATCTGTGGAAAGCAGGATGACTTTGTTTATGTTTGTTGAAGCTCTGAATACCACGTGGACGACCCACCTCGCGTTGTGCTGGACAAGCTGGAGAAGTGGGGCTTCCGAGTGCTGGCCATGACGGGCGTGGGACAGACACTGGTGTGGTGTCTCCACAAGGAGCTGGTGGTGTGACTGATCAGAAAGCTGCAGCATCTAAATATTTTCAGATGTCCTTTCAAAGATTGTTTTTTGTTTTGTTTTGTTTTTTCAGCAGGACATTTCTGAGATCCATTATTTCCTTCTATTTGCAACCAAACAGACATTTTAAACTTTTAAGGTTTGAGACTGAATAGCTGAGAAATTTCAGAAATGTTGTTTTACTGGCATTATGGTGCCTCCCTGTAATACGAGTAAAGCTCTGTTAGACAAAGATGTTGAAATAATGTAAAGTTAGTTATGTGCACAGTTGTTAAATAAATAAAAAAAAATTTAAACATGCAAAAATGTTAAATGACAGGGGTGGGGGGGACTCCGGCAACATGACGCCAACACTTAAGTGACAAAATAACAATTCCCCCCTCATCCGCTAGGGGCTGGATCCAGAAAGGAGCAAGTTCCCATTGATTCCCATGTTAAAAATGCCAAATTCACAGCAGAAATAATCATGTTTACAGCCTGATTAAAAACATTTAGGTTTTGTGAGTCACGTTTACGGTCATGGTGGCTCTGAGGGCAGTGAATTATTTTGCAACTCATCCATTTAGATGTAATTAATTGTCCATTTGACTTAAAGGTGTCATAGTACTAGCAGCTTGCCCCCTGCTTACTCCAAGCAAGGCCTCAGCCTCATATTAATAGTGTTACAGTCTAGGAGGCAGAGGGTAGCAGAGTTATGGCTAAAAACACCCGCCAACCTCCGTTAGCTCAGTTAGCTTGTAGCTACATCGGGTCAGAGTTTCATAGGTGTCAATCACCTGAACCCCTTCTCATAGCCCCTCCCTCAGCTCCATGTTTGTATTTTTCAGGAACGGTGCAGAGGATTTGTCCATATATGATATTCTTTGCTAAATGATTTCAAAAAGCAACACATTCTGCCATACAATAAATAAACTCAAAAGCAAAAAATAAAACCACGTAGTAGCTAAAGCACTGCAGGACTCACATTTTCTTTTTTTTCTTTTTTTTTTTTATAAAAATAAAAAATAAATAAAAAAATAAAATAAAAAAAAGGACTCACATTTTCCATAAAAAACATTTTATGATCCTCAAGACCTTTGGGAAAATAATTTGCGGACTGATGAGACAAAAGTGGAACTTTTTGGAAAGTGTGTGACTCGTTAAATTTGGGGTAAAACACACAAAATTTCAGGAAAAGAACGTCACACAAACAGCCATATATGGTGGTGGCAGTGTGATGGTTTGGAAGTGGACCACTTGCTGTATTGGAAGACAGTAGATAATCTTGATGGAGAATGCCCAACCTTTGACTTAAATGGGCTCTTCCGTTAGTACTGTAAAACCCTCAAATAGGGCCAAATTAAAACAGATCTGTAAAGGCAAGCGGGACAAGAATACAAGCCATTTGCTTTATTTACTGAACAATTAAGAGTTTTATTTAATTTATTTATTTATTAGTACAGAAAATTTGCCAATCCATCAAGATTTGTTTTTGTGTCTTCTTCCGTTTCGTCTAAAGAAAAGTACAGCATTCATGCACATTGCAACATGCTAAAGTTAGCTAAATGTTTTAGGTAACTGTCCCACGTTTCAGGATGCAAACAGCCACAAGGATGTAGTGCCATGCAGAACAGCCTTCAGCTGCCCATAGGTGGGCCAGCCTTTTTATCAGGGAAGTCCAAATGTAAACGAATAGGCCTAAGTAATCATCCGACTGATAGACTGATCTATCTCTAATCAGAATATAGTTTCCAGGAGCCAGGAATCACTTCCTGCCACCCCAGGTCTGCCAGTTCATGTCTGGGAACATCCTGAATCCCAAATCCACACTCCAAGAACATCCGCTGCCAACTTGCTGCTAAATTCTTACCAGGCTTGGCTGCCTCGTGCATGACGTAGCTTCCACCTCCACTTTCCATCTGACGATGATGCAAACATTGTTTGCCTGTGCAGACATGACTGTTCAGACATGGGGAATTCGATACTTGGGTGATTCCCGTCGTGACTGGTGCCCCAACAAGCTCGTCCTCCCCTGCTGCTTTTGCATGCAGCAGTTCATGCCACCATCTGCTTAGGGCAGCTCTGGTGGTGAATGTGTTTCTTGTAACTGCATTTCCTTTGTTGTAATTCAAACAGAGTTTAGTCTTTTTCACATGACTGGGATATTGAAAAAGTATACACATAAACAAAACCATGTTATGAGGGGATTTTGTAGGAGGAGGGGAGCAGATGTCTCCCACCGCACCACCCTGCTCCTCTCCACAGCTGGACATTGTATAACAGAGAGCCACGAAGAGGCAGCATGGAAGCGGCAGGGTGGGATGCAGGACCAGATTGGATGTTGCAAAGCAGCTCCTAAGTAACACAATGACAGGAGAAGCCACACAGGCCTGCAAATGCAGACAAAAAGTCAAGAGAAACAGGCAATCTTGGCAAATAAATGGAACCTTGTTATAAAATAGTGACCACAACAGACTCATAAGGTGAGGAAACAGCTAAGAGCAACAAATCAAATTTCTTTGAGGTCGATATAATTTCTAGTTAGAGAGAGCTGGTGTCCTGTGACTTGAACAGAAGTGAAAAACACAAACGCCGTTGGAAAATCTTGTTATAAGTTTTCCAAGATAGGTGAACAGCTCCAGTTATTAATGTGGATCAGTTCACAAGCCCTCCTCCTCAGTCTAATATAGAGATTAGGGCATAATGAGCCCAAAGCCACAGGGAGCAATCACGTTAACCACCAGATCTGAAATGGTGAGCCTCTAGAGCAAGTTCACTTTTCATCACGAGGCCACAAGAATTTCATAAAGATTTACCTTGTGCTCCAATCACAGCCTGATTATGGGTTTTACTTAGGCCACAATGCAGTCTGCGGCCTGGATCAACACTAAACTCCGAGAGGAGCTGATCATCAGGCAGGCATTAAAATGTGTCTGGCTGCAGTAATTACTTGTCACGTTTAGCCAGATAGACACCTCCAAAAAATGGCATCAATAATAATAATAATCGATCAATAATGACATCGTAACCATTAGTGAACAAAGTTAAAGGAGACATATGACTTTTTTCTTAAGTTATAATAGTTCTATGGTCGATGCAAAACCGTTTTATGAAGTTCTTTTTTTCTAAATCCCTCTCACATAAACAATTTCAGCAGTGGACATTTTTCAGTCTCGTGCACAATGAGGCGTTTTAGGGCTCTGTTGTTTTTAAGACAACAAGCTGGAGCTGGCCACACTCACCCATCTCCTGATTGGCTGCTAAGAAGTTCCAACATCCAGGAGGGGCTCCGAGTAGAGCCGATGCTCCTCCAGCAGAAGCAGCTCTCTTTTGCATGCGAGAGATGGATCTATGCTAATGTGTGTGATATCATAAACAGGGAATTTTTGAAATGGCTAGTTTAGACACATCATTTCTAAAACCAAACACTGATGTAAAAAGGAGGGATGGGTTTTTTTCCGCATATAGTTTTTATAGAGGCAGTAGAGACCCGCATGGTAGCACAAAATGATGCAAAAGGTGTGTTTGCATAATTTGTCTCTTTTAAAATAGCTCCAGAATTCATAGAGGTTCATGCAAATACCCAATCCCATGCTCCAGGGTGAGACCTTTGAGATAAATAAGAAGTGCCCAAAACATGTTAGAGCTTTAGCAGAAATACACAAATTCTCAAGTAAACGATAAGAAAACACAAAAACTCCGTTACTAAAGAAAGTTTATTTTTGCCAAACTGAATAATTCACAACAAAATAAAAAAACTAAAACACATGAGAGGCTTTATGAAACTAAAGCCAGGAACAGAAAATAGTTTCAGTTGGATCCTCGGGTCTTATGGCCCAGCAGCTTCCTCCTCGTCTTCTCTCTGCATCTGCTCGATGAGCTTCTGTCGCTCAGCTGCCTGCCTCATCCTCATCATCACTATGCTCTCATAGTCTCGCTCGTTTGACAGGGAGCCCTGTACGAAACACAGATTTGCAACATCAAACAAGGTAAAAGATCTGAAAATAAAACTGATGTTGGGTGATGTGGCAAATTGTCTTCTAGAGTTGTAAGAATTGTCCTCTAAGCCCAAATAAAACCCCAGAAGGGGTTCATTTCGCATGCCACAAAAAATGACTATACAGAAGATGTGGTTCTAACAAAAAAAACAAAAATTCACTACAACAACCGTGGATGATGTCTACTCAGACATACAGAATCATAGAAGAGCTAAACATCTGTTATAAATATACAAGGTTGTCTTAAAGCAGACAGAATGTCAGTGTCTGCTGGCTTTCTCAGCCAGGAAGCAGAAGACAGAAAGATTCAGACAGACACTCATCCCACCTAACATTAGAACAACGACAGGATGGTCATGGATGAGAGTGCAGTCCAAGGAGAACCCTGAGGGAATTATAATCATGAATCTGGGCTGGAATTAGGCCTGGCAGTAAGTTTATGTGATTTATTTTAATGGCTGCTGCGTGTATAATTCTCAGACACCGGGACAAATCAAAAAGAGTAGATCCCACAAAATTTTTATTTCAAAAGGAAATAATAGCTATATGTGCACACTGTGGCCTATTTTCACCAGATCATATCAGAAGCATTTCACAAGTCACTTTAACAAGGGGGGGGGGGGGGGGGGGGGGGGGGGGGGTGCAGGAGAGAGGAGGTGTGCGTTAGGGGGGGTGCAGGAGAGAGGAGGTGTGCGTTGGGGGGGGGGGGGGGGGGGTGCAGGAGAGAGGAGGTGTGCGTTAGGGCTGCACGAGAACTATCTGAGGAGAGTTTTGTCTGTGCGCTCGCTGAGCCGAGGCATCTGGAACGCATCACCGGGAAGTCCGCTACCCATGCACTGAGACAGAGGGTAAAGTGTAGAAGAAGAATAGAGCAGAGGTTCTGTGAAGGCCCCCCACTCCCCCCCCCCCCCCCCCCCCCCCCCCCCCCCCCCCCACTCCACCCTTGAATTGAGGAAAGCTGCTATTATCATTCCAGTAATGTGAGCTCAAGCCCTTCGTCTGACACACAACGTGACATATCACGCAAACACTGTTAGGTAAATAAACAACTTTTGCATCTTCAAATTAACTCAAACATTAAAAAAATATACAAGTAATGACGGGCATCCTCCCAACCAACCAGCAACCGTATTCCTACTCCATCCCGCCCTCTACTGGTTACATCCCAGACGTGTACCTAAGTAAGCATAAACCCATCTCTCAACAGGGATGTTGACTGCTAATAGTGAAGGGGTACTCTGATCATTTACAGGTGCTTCATGTGCAGCGTGACATCCCTTCTTAGGAAGAGAAATGCTTTCTTGCCCGCGGAATAAACTTACAATGTACATGTTTAGCCAGCGCATCACTCTGAAACTAAACACCTCACGTGTGCATTTCCGTGCGTGTCTGTGGACGTTCTGTGTTGTAATGCTGGGGCCCAGCGTGAGTTGGAAACCGCTGAACACAAACCGTGGGCCCCTTCACAAAGCCGAGGGAGGAAGGCCACCGCAGAAGAAGGATGATAGTAAAACACATGCACGCAAACATACACACAAACAAGCAAGCCGAGGATTAGCTGCATGACATCATCGCGTGGCTGCAGCACAACCCCGGTCTGATTCCAGGCCAGTTATGACATACTGAGAAACCGCCAGCTCTGTCAGGGGTGTGTAACAACACACACACACACGCACGCACGCACGCACGCACACACACACACACACACATAAACAGTGCAGGAAGCATCTCACAGTGCAGGTGGCCAGTGTTCCCCAAGCACGAGTTGTTAGATCAGTTTGACATTACACCCCTCCTTCTCATTGTTTGTGAGCGTGTGTTGTGTGATTCAGATGACAAGTTACAACATGAATAAGATGAGAATGCATCTTTGGTTTTAGAAAATATTTCAGTTTCTATTAAAATGTTTGCCATTCCAGGCTCCAAGCCCCGCTGCCTGGTCGATTCCCAGCTCAGATTTGATTAATGATTACAAGTTAACATCTCTAGACATGAGATATCCCTCTGCAGATGATCGCTGTGCCAAGATGTAACAGGATAGACTTCCAGGAGAAGAACGGGGTTTTTCCCTAACAGGCTTGCTCTGTTTCAGGCCAACATTTCAGCATCTAATGTGATGTGGTCAAGTTAATCAAGGGACTATTTATCTGGAGTGTGTGTGGTGGCATGGTGCATATTTGTGTGTGTCATTGATCTCTGGAGTATGTGATTTATGAGAGGCAAATACGTATAGACTTTTATTTAAAGAACGTTTTGCTTTTGTTTGTTTTCATCAGAGGGTCTGCGAGTTGCGTGCGGGTGCCAAAGACCTCCTGCTAACTCAAAACCAACAGGGCTGCATCGTGCACGGCTAGAGCCAAAGTAGGAAATCCTGCACAGGCAAAACTTAAGCTTCGTTGATGAGAGAGAGAGTTCATCATGATTCACTACAAGACTCTGAAAACGAATATGACAGTAGATCTTCCATCAATTACTATAATTTTGTTGTAGTAGAATAAACACTTAATATAGAAAAAGGCTGTCCTTAAACGCTGAAGTCCACCGCATGCGTAAATGTCGCATAACGTAATAGACATGTTTTCCAAGGAAACTCGGTGGCGCATCCCGGGCCTACAAACATCCAGTTTCTCTTGGTCAAGAGCTTCCTCTGTTGGTACAAAACAAGTGTCCATTCACTAATACACCCATCTCCCTCTGCTTAGCCAGAGTCAGGTTGTGGGGGACTCAGACTGAAGCCTGATTCATGCTTCTCTGTCTGCATCAGTGCGGAGACACGCAACGTCCTTGCTGGCCTGCTGGAGAGCTTTGCAAGGACGGACGGAGTCGAGCTCTCTTTTATAAACATCCGTCAGTCGAGACGGACAACGCAAGCTTGTGTTTGGTCAGGACGCCGCTGTCGTCTACACCGCCGCCATTGCACCCTCAAAAACATAAAGAGAGCCGAGGATAACTAGCAGCAGACACGGAGCAGCTTGAAGAATACCTCGCGAAAAAACTCTTAAAAACATGAACGTTTAATTCCCCGTGACTGGAGGAGTGAAAAGATGCACAGCAAGCGTTTTATTTGTGGACGGAAATGACGGAAACGTGGGTTTAGAGGCGGCGAGCGCATGATGAGGTGGAGGACGAGAGACACATTTGACTGTGTTAAAAAGTCTCTTATGTACAAAAACAACACAAAATAAAAACACTATCTTGGACCTGATACATGACAGGATACCACAAAAGAGCGCTACGCCCTCTGTTGTCCTGGTGGGGAATAGCTTTGCAACATTCCCCAGGAGACGGGCAAAACATCTCCGTCCGAGTGTGCGTGTCTCTCCCTGTTAAAGGTGACAGAGAAGCATGAATCAGGCTTAAGCAGAGACCTTCCTCTCCTCTCTCCAGCCACTTGCCCAAAGGAATACCAAAGCATTCCCAGGCCAGCCGAGAAATCTAGTTCCTCCGTTGTGTACTGGATTTTCCCTTAGGTCTCCTCTCGGTTGGACGTGCCCATAACACCAGACCAGGGAAGCATCTAGGATGCATGCTAACCAGATACCTAAGCCACCTCAACTGGCTCCTCGCCTCTCTAAGGGAAAGCCCAGACACCCTACGGAGAAAACTCATTTTGGCCACTTGTATGGAACATCTTGTTCTTTCGGTCACTACCCAAAGCTCGTGACCATAGGTGAGGGTTGGAACGTAGACCAGTAAACCGAGAGCTTCACCTTCTCACTCAGCTGTCTCTTCACCACAACAGACCTGTAAAATGCCTGCAACAATGTAGACATGGCACCAACCCACCCACCAATCTTTTACTCCATTTTCCTCTCCAGGTGTCTACATCTTAAATCCACTCTAGGTGGACACAGAGCACGGATTTTGTCAACTACAATTAAATAAGTCCTTTATTACCAATTGTTGTTAAACAAATACATCCAACTTTGATATCTGGTGACGGCTGAATAAATGTATCCATTTGCCTTCATTAAGCATCTGTTTAAACACAGAAATATATCAGACATGATCGTAAAGGATCTGTTGTTGCTAATAAAATCTACAAGGACACCTGCAATGAATTTAAATCCACTTTTCTTCAGCGTAAATAAAGTAAAAGTTACTCAAGATTGTTGATTCTACCAGGAAAAAAAAATTCTGCAACTTCTTCCATGGTCCAACTGGGCACCCATTGAGATTGTAAAAAATTAAACAAAATGTTTAAAAATTCAGGATTGCATAATTGAAAAAGAAATATGTGTCTTAATAGAAACGGGATCAAGGTGGCTTGAGTCGCAAAGTTGCATCAAACCAAAAGACCGTTTGTGGAACAACGTTCTTTAGAAAAAGAGACCAAACTGGAAGTGTTTGGTCGTAAAAAACCAAACACAAACTATTCTTTACACCAAAGTAAGTCAGAGTCGGTTCTGTGGTCAATAATATGACAATGATGTTTGTCCAAAAATGGAAAATTCAATGATAAAACCAACCAAATCACACAGCAGCTAATCTAAAACAGAATAGTGAAGATCCTGCAGGCCATAAAGGTCAGGGGGCTTTAGGAAAGTTGTGTGTGTGTCCTTGTTTGCTCAACACATGGCAGTACGAGGTCGAACATCTGCTATAAGGAGAACGAGATTGCCTTTGGAATCTGTAAAAGTAGGAGAAATAAACAGTGAGAAGAAAAATGACTGCAAAGACCTCCTGGTGGACTGGCATTTCTCTTTATGATGGATGGGCTAAAAAAATCATAGAAAAATGAAAAGTAAGAGGGTTTGGCTTGTCTTAATGTCCTACAACACTTTTCTGGACAAGTGAAATTATGTCTCACATCACAGCCTTCCTGGAAAAGCTCTCTGATTGCAACAGATTTCTTATTAAAACAAACGAGGCCAGGGAGCTGTAAGAATACCGTCTGAACCTTGGGAGATGTTGAAAGGAAACTGGAGCTCTGGGAGATGAAGAAAAGAACGAAAATTTGAGTTTAAGTCAGAAGAAATAAAACAAATGTTTTGGTTTTAATTTTGCTTTGATACCGACTTGGTTCTTTTTCTTTCTAATATACTAAACAAATACATTGCCTCACCATCAATAATCCTTATTTATTATACAGCTCACAAGTAATCTAAATATTATTTTATTTATTTAGTAGTACACCAGTACTGGGACTACTTTATCTTGTTTTCCTTGCATTTTAAATCAAGCACCTGTAGGAACCCTGTCAGGGTATCTGCAGGTTTAAGGGAGCCAAATTTAAGACTTTTTAAGACCTTTTTCAAGGCCACTTTGACCAAATTTAAGCTATTTTTAAAAATTAAATTTAAGCTATAATTTCCAGCTATTGCCTGGAACCGGTGCTAACCACGTCGCGAACGTGGGATTAGCCATCCAGTTACTATTTAATTTGCACTTCCCCATGGCGCAAGCTCCCACTAGCTTAACCAGCTAATGTGCTCATCTAAAAATAGCCCCCTTTCACAACCAACTGAATGTGTACGGTTCTGCTTACGCCAACATCGTACACAAAAAACGCTGAGTACTAAATAGAAATTCACAAAAATTTTATAGAAATAAAAGAATCTTGTTTATTGGGTCTTTGGTAATTTAAGACCTCTGGAAACTGTATTTAAGGATTATTAGACATTTTTAAGGATTTTTAAGGCCTTAAATTTGGCAAAGCAAATTTAAGACTTTTTAAGACTTTTTAAGGACCCGCGGATACCCTGCCTGTACATGATTATGAATACGGGACTCCATTCAATTTTTAAAATCTATAGTGAACAATTTTTTTTGAGTAAATTTATTTTATTCCAATGTGAGATCAGGGTTATTTTAAACATAAACACAGATGCTTGGTCAGCAGATGGACATAGAAGCAGGTAAAAGCTGATGATTTTAATTAGAGAAAGGAAAAAACTTAATTTTGACTTAATGACATCTCTGGAACGTGTTGGTTGAAAATGTACTGCCTGAACCTGCCTTTTTATGTACAGCAGAATAGCGTGATTATGACATTTTCCAGTAGATTCTGCAGTAAAATGCCACAATGTGGCACCTGTGGAGTGAATCAGAACATAAAATGGGACATGCAACTTGACGATGACGCAAAGCAAATGAGATATTCCAGCACTGAGTGGTTAAAAGAGAATACAAGCAATATTCTGGCATAGCTAAGTCCAAAAAGTACCCATAAAATGTTGCAAAGGCAGTTTTAGCAAACACAACGCAGAGAAGATCTCACGATAAAAGGTTTTTACAAGTAAAAATAAGAATACAACCTGGTTTCTGGCACGTTTAACTTAACACCATTTTTTCCTACAGCAAACCAAAATGCTAGCCTAGAAATCTAGACTGATCTGCAGACTAAAGATTTAGCTCTGCAGGTCGGTCTAGCCATGATTGCTGCTAGCCTCATTAGCCTCAGCAGGTCTACATTGGCCTAATCAACTTTGTGTCTTGCCAATCACAGCTCTCTTCGTTAGGCAGGCTAATCGTTAGAGCTGCGATGGAGAACGTTTACAACGATGGCGTCAGCTCAGGAAAGGCGCTCATATAAAACGGCTTTGGCATCACCTGTGGACGATTTAGACTTGAGCCTTTCTTTGAGACAAGTAGATGGAAACACTTAAGTAATTTACTTCGAAAAGGGATGTATTTGCTTCTTCTTAAATGCACGCTGTATGGCGGATGGTCCCGTTGACTGACATCCGTAGCTGTGAGCACATTATGTATGGCGCGGTACGGGGGCCAAAATTAAGACTACTGCCCAGCAGCAGGAGGCTATATAAATTCCGAAGCAAACTACTGATCTGATTAATGATAAGCTGGCACCAGTAACTGAGAGGCTGGCGCTGCTTACTGAGGAATAGCACCTTTACCGGCATTACTAATAGATACGCTAGGGACTAGCAGCCCTCGGCTGGTCATTGACTGGTTCACACACTCCCTCTGCTGTCTATTAGCATGGATAGGCTAATGTTAGCCTGGACGGGCTGGTGTTAGCATTGGAGAGGCTGGCCATTAGCGTGCCTAGGCTGGCCATTAGATGGATTTCCTACCTCCTCGATGGACCATTAGCATGGATAGGCTGGCGTTAGCATCGAAGAGGCTAGCCATTAGTGTGCCTAGGCATGCCACTAGCTGGATTTCCTATGCCCTTGACGTACCTTAAGCATGGATAGGCTGGCATTAGCATAGGAGAGGCTAGCCATTAGCATGTCTCGGAGAGTCACTAGTCAGCTAGTGGCCAGCCTAGGCATGCTAATGGCTAGCCTCTCCGATGCTAATGTCAGCCTATTCATGCTAATGGTCCATCAAGGAGGTAGGAAATCCAGCCAGTGGCCAGCCTAGGCACGCTAATGGCTAGCCTCTCCAATGCTAACACCAGCCCGTCCAGGCTAACGCTAGCCTATCCATGCTAATAGACAGCAGAGGGAGTGTGTGAACCAGTCAATGACCAGCTGAGGGCTGCTAGTCCCTAGCGTATCTAGTAGTAACGCTGGTAAAGGTGCTATTTCTCAGTAAGCAGCGCCAGCCTCTCAGTTACCGGCACCAGCTTATCATTAATCAGGTCGGTAGTTTGCTTCAGAATTTATATAGCCTCCTGCTGCTGGGCAGTAGTCTTAATTTTGGCCCCCATACTGCGCCATAATTATGTTGGTTCTGACTGGTCCTATAGCACTGTCCAAATGCATGCAGAGACATTCAAAAGACAACCATAGATTCCGCCCCACGACTGGGTGGTTTCATTGGGTCATGGCCAGACTGTATATTTACATATATGGGATGGCTTGCCAGGCATAAACGGTGTAAACTAGTGTTAATATGTATTTCCTATCCCACCAGCAACAAATTTGCCACGTTTCTGTTGAAGCACCTTGATAAAGCACAAGCCATAACCATAGAAAACAGGATAACGATTTTTTTAAGTCTCACCAAAAGTATGAAGAAATGCCTTAAAATACTACTTTTAATTGTACTTTTCATAGAAAAAGGATGTAATAGTTGCATTGTCTCAAAGCTCTGTGTGCCATAGTTGTCACGATCAAACAATGTAAAATCTGTCATTGTAAGTACAAAATCTTCTTTAAGTGCTCGCTGTCTGGGAGTTTTAACACAGCGGAAACGGGAGAACACACAACAAAGAGCGACAGGAATATCCACTAAAGCCTCCGTTTGGGCTTCTAGCACCAGTCAAAGCAATATCTGGAAACACTTTTTTTTGTCTTGTAGCAACAAAAATATGCAGCATCCCAGATTTCAGAGGCAGCATAGTTGCATCAAACCACACTGCCCAACGTGGTCGGGCCTTAGAAAGAAGGCTTACACAGAAATCCTGTTCAGGCTAAAAGCATCGACCCAGAGGCTGCATCGCATGAGAGGATAAAAGCGAGTCCGGCTTTGGTCAGACGGCAGGTTCCAAACACCACAGATGACACCAACTCATCATACTGTCTTTTAGCATGAAAGCTACTTTTGTGTTTTGAAGCGGGAACATTTCTAAGAAGAATATTTATTTCTTTTGAACTTGGGTGAATCTTTCATTTACGAGATTAAACGCCGTCTGTTCTCTTAGAGAAGAGCACCGAAAGAAGGGTAAAAAAGCCAATGCAGCTGTTGCTTTTTGGATTCATTTAAAAGTAGAGTTGAAAATGAAGATTAGGTATACAGCAAATATATCACAACGTGCATTTACAGTAATAAATTGTGATGACACAGTTTCCACTTCTGTACAGCTCCGACATTCCACGACAAAGACAACATGCTGGAGGCGTGAGAAATGAAAATGCAACAAGTTATTCCTCTTGTGAAACCCAGCGTGCCTGCTCGTACATGTCCGTGTGCGTTTTGATTACATAGAGAAACCATAGGCCTCCAGTCAGGCAGAAGCAGGCTGGACTGCAGGGCTTAACACAAGCCAACAGCGGGCAGGAAATCAGAAACTCTGCAGAACGGAGGGACAATACCAGCGATTAGAGATCAGTTAACCCCCTCCTCTTTGTCGCTGGCATGTTTGCTCAACAACTACAACTTCCTTTTTGTCCAGATATGCACGCGACCACTAAACACTCACAGACCTTTATAAACTCAATATTCTCACTCATCCTATTACCATTCATCCTGAAAAAGGCTATATCGGATTGTCACAAGAAAAAGGTGAAGATCTTCCATTCTCAGCCAATCAAGCAGCAGGCTGGGACACCTACGACTAAGAGAAAGACTCTATGGACTGATGGGTATGACCTCACGACTTGCAAAACTTCAGAAGTGGTACAACTTCAAATATAAGCCGAGAAAAGATTAGATCATTCCTGAGCTAAAACCTGCCCACCTGGATGTCTTTTGTACTCTGACCTCCCCTGGCTTATCATTTACGCAAAGAGGACTTTCACCATTAACACACCTGGAGAGCATTCCGAAGTGCAAGGAGTTTACACCGCAATGGATTAACAAGAAAATAACAAAGATTCAAGTTCTCCTCTAAGGGTAAGAAAAGTAACAAATCTAAGAATACCGATCTGTTCTGGAGTAGACTACATCACCGTCTTACCATTTGAAAACCGAGCAATGAAGGCTTGCTGTGTGACAGATGGCAAGCCCAATCATGTCAAGGAAGAGCTTGTCAGGGAAAGCTGTTAGAAACAGGCTGGATTCCTCCCAGAGATAGGGTGTGCATGTGTGGGATTCTAATTTTCCTTTTTCATGAAAACAAATGGGTAAGTTTATGAACTCATATATATTTATCAGTTGTGTCTTTCTAAGTAAAACTAGACTAAAAGTATTCAAATCTCCAAGTGTTTTACTTTAAATGTGCAGCTGAGACAAGTGATCAGTCTCAAAGATGTGTGTCACTAATGAAAGTGGAAGGAAATCTAAAGAAATGTGGTTTTTGGCCAATCGGTTTTAATTACCTTATTTCTACTTGGCCATGGAGTGTTTCCTGAACGCTGAACTCACGGATAAATCGTCAGACTCCTCCTCGGTTGACCTGACATGTTCGGAAAGGAATGCTGTTGTGCCCGCACTCTCCAATCTTCTGCTGCTGCTAACGTGCCGATAAAACCTTTATGGCCCAACAAACGCCTGTTTGTTAAAGTGGCTTACAAATTTACAGAGTGAGTGTTTCAAGTCACGAACATAGACCTAATGTGGGCAAAGCTGTTGGGAGGCTGTAAAATCAAAGACGGCCAGCAGATTATCTAATCGCCATGCCTCAGTTGATGAACCGGGTTCTGGGTTTTCTGGCAGTAAAATGTTAAATAGTCAGGAGACGCAAAGGTTTTCAACTATTACTGATGAAATCTGACTTTGAGGAGCTGGTTTTTTTATTTTAAATGTTTTCTAGTTCAAGTTTTGTTGGTGCAAATGACTTAACTTGATGCAGCCTCCCACATCCCCAGCACAAGCATTTCACTGCATTGTATTTTTTGAAAAAGTACAAACTTGTCTTTCAAATGGACTTCTTTTTGTTTAATCTTCTGGAGAAAAATGACAAAAAATTCCTAAAAACTCTAAAGAAATCCAACAAACTTCAAACAAGGCAAACAAGCACTATTGTTACTGGAAGACTTAAGTAGATTATTAGACTTCCTCAAGAGGATATGAAGAGCCACACCTGCATTTATGGGAAGAAACAGGGATTTGGAAAGTAAATATTTAAAAATTAAGGCTTCAAAGCATTTGTTGGAACATTCCTTTGCTGGTAAACGTTGCAGAATTTCGTTACAGCGAAATCTAGTCCAGCAGGTGCAGCCTCTAAATAATAACTGACAGATCTCATTAAGCCAACGCACACGGCACAATGCTAACATCTGGCACTGAATAGCATAACAAGTGCAAGCACAGACCTGCTTCATACAACCTTTTGTTGAATCATAATTGTGTCTTTTCATGTGTTTTCTTGCAGATGGCAGAATGCCTTTGAGGAGCACCAAATCCTAAGGATTCACTGTGAAAACAGGACAAAAACAGGAATACCAAGAACTCTAACTTGACAGGATTCATCGAGATGCCATTGAGAACATCACTGCACAGAAAATCCAGTCATTGGTCCAGCAGGAAGCGGAGAGAGGTGCTTTCAGTTAACATGATCAGCTTGCCACTCGATGATTTCCGCCATATTTCTCATATTGGAATTGATGCTCAGAAGGACAGCTTTGGGGATTTATCCTTTCTGAAGATGAGCCACAACTTGCTCCGGCAAACTTCTCAAAGTGAGCAGAACCTCATCCTGGCCTGCTCGCCTCCTCCAAAGCCTCCTCGTTTGAATCTGGATGGAAAGGGGGATTTGCAAAGCCATGATTTGTGTGTAAACCAGAAGAAGACGAAATGCAGCTCTTTGCCACTACTGGACAGTGAGGAAGACGGCAAGCTTGACAAGGAGGAAGAGTACCAAAGAGACATTGTTTCCAGCCAGACTGACGGGCCTGGACGAGGCAGCGTTAGCTCAGGCGTGGGTGGAGCATCTAAAGAGAGCTGTGACAAAACTACAGAACAGATGGACGAGGACAGTGGCTTCTCATTCAGCGTTGACCTGGGCCCTTCCATCCTGGGTGACATTCTACAGGTGATGGATAAACTACATCACTGAAGAACAATGCTGGGAATATATGGTAAAAGTCATTGTGAGGACACAACTCTGATGTGCTAACATCAGATGGTTATTGTTCAGATGTACCAAGGATTTCTTTATAATAAACATGAACTACTCTGTTGAAACACATTAAAATGTGTTAAAACTGCAGCTGAAAAATGAACAGTGTACGGGATCAAAGCAAGTCTTTTAAATCGTCCATATGCTAAACTACGCAACCCTGAGATTGTTGTGTTTAAGAAAAGAAAAGCTAAAGCTGCAATCCAAGCTAATTGAGCTGTGATGTCTCGGGTTTTGGCCTGCTTGCCAATCTATTCTGTTTAGAGGGCAATTTCTACTCCACACGCATCCCAGAGGCCCCACTGATAGGTAGACCGAGGTACCCCCCATCTCTAATTCCCAACAGTGCAGTGAAAACAAACACTTAGCTCTGCTTCCAATAAAAGCCAGCCACTGGTGGCAGGTTGGGCAGCAAACCAAACCAGGCCACAGGTCCAAGACCTTAAGAAGAAAAAAAAAGTGACAAAGAAACTGTTTTCTTAGCCGCAAATCGGAATCCGGTGCCCTGGTGGGTAGCGCATGAAAAAGAAAGTGGTAACGGGTGACATAATACTTCCATACACGCAGGGTGTTATGAGGGAGAAGGCCCAGAGACATCCATTAGACCAGCAGCGGTCCTGATGGGGGTTTAAACACTACCTTCTGAACAAATACAACCTGAACACGGAAGATACACATGCTGCATCTCACGAAAAACACAAGTGACAGTAAACACATGCGTGTACATCTTTGCCGATAATTAAAGTCCACTTTAGTGGAAGGGGTCACATGATGCTGTGCAGTAACTTAACATGTACCCTGGACCAGAAGATTTGTGCCCCAGAGGTCATGGTGCTAAACATGCTAACCACAAGTGTCCCCTTTTGGGCAATAAATTGAGATTTATGTCCAAATGGAAGAAGCAATCTTTTGTGGATACATGTGAGCTGGATGTCAGTCTTGCACAGTTGAGATCTCTGTTTCTTGCATATGTTTTCACAATGGCTGTTGTGAAACATTTGCAGCATTGTAAAATGTACCATTTTGTACTTTGGTTAAGAAACAAAAATTATCCAACATTTAAATTCCAACACTGGTGGTTTTGTGGATAAACTGCATGAGAATGTTTACAGACCCCGACGGCTGACATTTCCTTGGGAATTTACAGCTTGTTCCCCAAAATCGAGGGTCTGGGCTTTGTTTCTTACTTATCTCTACAAGTATATGTTTTGTTATGTTGCTTTAGAGAATTCCTGGTCTTGAACACAACAACACAATATTTCATGATTGGAATACACAACAGCCTAAGCTAAAAGAGGCATGTACGGCCTGATTACCTACAACACTGAACAGAAATGATGTATGCATGCGTGTCACTGCTGCCCAAAGGCATTCTTGAATCAGGATAAGGGTGTTGGTAACCAAGGTGTGTTGGGAAGTTGGTTATTCACAAATGTCATTTTTGACAACTGAAAAACATCGTATAAACTCTAACAGTAATGAAACATGTTGTTCTGCTGACTGTAAGAGCTCCAATTGTGCATTTTTCTGCTTTTTCTTGAAATAATCAATTTCACTGACCATAACACTTCAAATCTCATGTACAAATTAAATCAGTCAAAACTCAGATTTATGTTGAGTTAATTATGCAAAATTAAGTTTATCTGACTGTAAAAGCCATTTGTACACTGCAAAACTGTCCTTTGAAAGGTCTATTCATATATATATTGCCAATCTCCTTCCATAAATCTAAACTTTAGTTTTAGGATGAAGTCCTGTGAGGTGAATGTTTGTCCTTTTTGATCCTTCACTTGCAAATGTGTTTCTGTATAACATTCATTTCCAGAGAAGTGTTTTGGATGGCATTACACAGGTTTACACATCGAAGATACTTTTGTCAAAATTGTTTGTTTTTGCAATGTCAATAAAATGAATAAACCAGATCAATAGAAGTTACTTTTGCCTCGTATCATAAGTAGCTGGTTTGTTTCAGGCATAAAGCATTAAATTAGGAATCCAGGAAAATTTATTACTAATGTTTCTGTGCCTTAAGAGAATATTTTAAATCCCATCCATCCATTTTTGGCCCCTTATCTGGGATCGGGTCGCGAGGACAGTAGCTTAAGCAGGGAGGCTCAGACTTTTCAGAGATATTTTAACTAATGCGTTTTTTTAAGAAATTCCTCTAAAACAGCCTTCCGTATTTTATATAACCTAATTAAAGGTAAGAATAAATGTTCAGGGTGCTGCAGCTACATCTTGTAACGTGTACATAAACATACAATAAGGAAACAACAATTAGCCTAACATATTTTATAATGAAATTATAGATTTTTGTACTTGTGTTTGATATTCAAGACCAAATGTGTCAAACCAATCTGAGATCTGCTGTTTTAAACTAGATTATTTTAATCCTAAACTAAAAATGGCCATTACTGGATCACTTCTACTTGAACCCAATATTTGAGATTTCAGAGCAGTATACATTCTTCTCTTACCAAAAAAAGAATAAAGAAATTTAAAGTTTACTGTGTGAACACTGTTGAGTTCAAACGCTATAAAATGTTTTTCTGTATCTTTTTCATATCTAATTTAAGAGTCCTATCAAAACAGGTGTTTATAGCTACTATATAGAATACGCTTTAAAAACGATAATAATGTGGTGCATCAAATCAAACATTCAACAATAAATCTGAGTGACAACAGATGTGTGACTGAAATGTTCTTCTCATTGAACCTGCAAGACACAAAACGTCTGCTTATGACCACATGCAACGCATCTCCTCCGGATACAAGCGGTATTTCTGGTGAAAACATTTTTTAAGCCACGCTGTGACAAAACAATCCAAGAATGTCTGATTTGAAGCATCCTGGTCTTGTGGTGACATTCTGTCAATGACTCCCGCTTTCAATCCAGCAAAGAAACTCTCAAATTTAAATTCCTTGAACTATATTCACCCTTAAATAACACGGCATGTTGAATTACGCAATAGGCCCTGAACACGGTGATTAATGATGAGATCATCTCTCAGGAGACGCAGTCATCCAGTAAGCAGGGACAACGCAGACAGACAGTGAATCCATGTCTGTGAGACAGGCAGACAGTTATTAGTCACTCTGTGGGATCCATACATATGGTCCGGTGTGTGAAATCCTGCCTAATTCAAAAAGCTCCTTCCACCATTTCCTAGTCACCGAGGGATAAATGGCAGTTTGGCTATGAAACTGGATCCTAACCCAAACAAGGACTGTTTAACATTAAGGAGATATGGTAAAATAACTCAAGACATCTACATTCTAAGATGATCCAATCAAACTTCCTTATTTACATCAAGATTTGGTGAAAATATATCAGTTTTCAAATAGGGCAAAAACGTCATTGTGTGGCCACATTTACACTCAAATGCCAAAACGATGACACCAAACAGTTCACATGCAGAAAAATTAGAAAAATATGACTATTTTTGTGTTTTTGTTCTGAAGGTAGTGCATTTAAAAAAATCTATCTTGGTTTTGTCAAATGATTTCTGAAACCAACACTGGAATGTTCCTATTTGTGTTTATTTATAAGTGTTTTTAATGCATAAAACTCTGAAAAAATACGTACATTTTCTTTTTTCCGAGTTGTAAAGGTTGATTTACACAGCTTTTTTAATGTTTTTTGTTTATTTTTAGAAGTGTGATTCAAAAAGCATATAGACTGAACTTAAATTATGGAAAGACACGAAAACATTTGTGATCTGATAAATTAATTATGGGCTAGCAGCTACGCTAAACGCATCACTTTCAGACACATTTATGGAGGCAATTAACACCAGAAGTGAAGCTGAAGTCATCTATGTCTTTAAGTTCCCTTTAGTTGGACCTGACCCGCTGAACGTGTTTGGACTGATGAGGTTAGAAATGCAAATCCTCCCTGAATCTTCTCCCATGTGATGACAGCTGGCTGAAGCACACACACTGTGACAGCAGTGTCTGCCACCTCAGGGACATGGTCTGCTGGTAGTGTTTGTTTTCTGTGTTCTGTCCAGGATGACTGGTTGATGTGCACACAATCAGTCGTCTGTTTATGAATGCATGTGTTAATTTTGTACTTCTATTTTGAGTTACCAGTGACTTGTGGGCCATTCCCATCTGTACCGGGTCGGCCCGGGCCGGGTAGCCCCAGTCGGCCCCAGCCTGGCCCGGTTGATTCCACACATCCTTGCCTTAAGCCCATGTGGGCTGATTCTACCCACCAATCAGAGGCTTGCTCTAATGGAAGGTGTGAATTTGCTGTCAGCAGTGGGTGTGTTGGCCCTGGTCGGCCTGAAGCAGACCCCCTCGAGAAGAGGGCTGAGAATGAGTCTTGGTTGGCCCGGAAAAGTACCAGGCCACCCAGATATGTAAACAACCTACGCTACCCGGCCCGGGCTGACCCGGTACAGATGGGAATGGCCCATTGGAGTTTCCTATGGAGTCTCACACCTGCAGCTCAGGAAGCCTAATCAGCACTCCTGGGATCTACCAACTCCCAAGGGAGGGGAGATTCATGTTTATGCTTGTGTTTAATTTAATGTAGATATTTTCTGTTATGGATAGGGAGTTTGTAATTATGATTTAGTTATTTGAGTTACCTGAATTGATTAGACTGGTTAGTTTGTGTGTGTGTGTGAGGATGTGTGTGTTAATTGTATGTTGATTGTTCCCCTCTTGTATGTAGAGTGGTCTGATCAGCCACTATTTAAGTTGAACCTGGTGTGTCTGAAATGTCTTGTTTTTCTGGATAGTGTCTTGTGCTGTGATTAGGTTAAAGTTCCTGTTAACTTTGAAGCTGCTCCAAAATAAAATGGAGTTTTGAGTCTCATGAGTAGTGCTTCTCTGGCTGGTTTGTGCAAGTCCCCGACAATCACCAAGGAGAGTTTGGGTTTTTAGATCCCAGAGAGTCAGCGAGAGGACCTCCGTGGGTCTGGGTTCTTATTACGGCTCTTCGTGAGAAATTTACCCTGTGTCCACTGATCACAGGCCAGCTGTGGATCAACTCGTAATATCTACAGTATCGTGTTTGTAACAAGTATTTACATTCTGAGCCAATTTAAAATGACCTTACCATAATAATGTTTTCGTTCTTGGTTGAGGGAGAACATTTTTTAAATAAGGATGAAGCAATCAGCTATGAATATCAGTAAAGCAAACCGAGTTACCATAATAACATTTAAAAAGATTAGCATGACAAGTCCCAGTGTGCAGGCTCAGTCTCAGATGCTGACCCTGAGTAGGAGGTCTGACAACCACACACTGGGAGGAGGGTTGAAACACAATTCAGATTGACTAAAGGAAGTAAGTCGTCTTATTTTCCTGGAAGGGTGAAAAAAGTTAAAAGAACTTAAATGTCATGAATAAACAACATAAATATTCTCATGAAATGTTCATTATCAGACAGAAACAATGTTTTTGTAAAGAGCAGGAGATGGGCTCACTAGGCTCAACAACCAACAAAAATATGCTTGGCAACATTATAAAAATCTCTAAGTTGGTTTCACTTTTACTCTGCTTAACTTGGACAATTTTCTCTGCTTCAATACAAATATAAAGGTTAGATAACAGGGAATAATAAGAGCTGCAGTTTGTCTTTTTAATTAACATTTAATGCATTAGATGCCAAATCCTGCTGTGTTCTGCCCCACTCCTCCAGCTAACTTCTACTTCCTGAAACAGCAGCCCCTTTTCTTTTATATCACAGGTATGGAACACTCGTTTAGTCTATACGTTTGCAGAGGTCCTGTAACGCCGGGGACACACTGGCCGCGGAAGCGCCGCGAAAATGGGGCCGCCCTCATTCGGCGCCCTTGTTAAGCTATTCTATAGACCACATGGGCCGCCGAAGCGCCGCGAATCGCCTCGCGCCGGTGCGCGCCGGCGCCCCAGCCCGCGCCGTGCAGCGATCATTTCGGCGTCGGCTCTATTTTTTCCGCGAGCCGCGGGTGAATCGCGTCAATTCTGGCAGGAAGTCAAACCTAGACATAAGAGGCAGGCCGGTAACGTTAACAAAATAAAGTATTTCAAAATAAAATTACGCAATTAAATGTGTTCGTAATCAGACACTGCAGAAAAACCACACGAACACACACACATCGAACTTGTGTGCGTGTGTGACCGCGTGAAGGGAGGTGTGGTTTTGGGTGTCTTTTCACGGAGCAAACAGGACAGAGAGGCAGAAAGTCTGAGGCAAGCAGTTAAGATGGATGACTTTAAATTAATTATGGAAGTTGAGAAACACAAGGAGCTGTACGACCCCCGAAAAACATGGTTATTTACGTACCCATTTCAGAAGAAACTGCTAGGATACAGCTGCAGAATTGGAGCGGGTTCCAAGAGATTCAACTGGCAGAAACATAGGTTCACACACACACACACACACACACACACACACACACACACACACACACACACACACACACACACACACACACACACACACACACACACACACACACACACACACAGTGTGTCCACGTTCAAGGAAAATATTTATTTATAATGTTATTTCACACACACGTACGCGCGCGCGCGCGCACAAACACTCAAGCGTAGAGGAAAATAGCTGAGAAAAGGCAGAGAGGAAATGGAGGACACCAAGTGTTTAAAAGAAAAACTACAGCTGAGCCGAGGCGCGCATCGACTGGGGCGCGTCTGATCTGAACTGAGGAGCGGCGAGCAGCGGCCGAATTTCGTGAGCGATTCGCTTCTCGGCGCTTCGCGGCGCTTCCGCGGCCGGTGTGTCCCCGGCGTAAGTTGTACTCTGGGGAAGAAAAACACCAGTGCACCACTTGCGGGAACTAGAAGTGAGCAACATCACAGCTGAGCTTCAGACAACAGGATTTGTAGTCTTCTTTCTGATATTTGGACATCTCAGCTCGAATTGGATAACAGCAACACGACTCTACCACTGACTCAGATGTTTGATCTCCACAAATAACACAAGCCTGGAAGAGTTCTGCTGTGTGGTGGAGTTGCTAATGTTAACAGTTAGCTTCTACCAATAGAGGCATTCTCTGCTGTTTCCTGGACACTAAACCAATAACAGCCTTCCCCATCACAAGTCAAGATGGGTGAGTCCATGCGTGTTAAGTGACAGTGTGACAGATCTGTTGGGCTTTTCCAATCCTAGGGTGTTCCTCAATGCCAAGGAACCTTGCCTTGATGTCTTGGCCCTGCCCCGGTTGCCTAGGAGATACGTCATCGGGAGCCGCCAAGATGTGTTCCAATGTTCATTTTCTACCGAGGCGTGTGTTCTCCGTTTGTTAGCGGTTTAGCTAGCTGAGCGAGGATACATGGGAGGTGTCTTGTAGCCTAGCCTTGGTCAAAAATTACCCAGAATACACCGCGGTATTTCAAAAGGACGGCGGATCAGAAGCCGGCAGCTACTTCAGGGACAATTTTCAAATTCAAAAGTAAGTCAACTAATTTCAAATGTTTTTTTTAGATCCAAAGAGGTTATCTATGGTTGGTTAGTTGCTTAGTAGTTGCAGCTTCAGTGGCTAGCGAGTAGTAACTCACTTATATATTTAATTTAATAAATATATACACAATTTAAAAAGTAAAAGGCTCGTTATATGTTTATACTGAAACTAATACGTATAAAATATAACGTTATCTCCCGTGTCACGTGACGTTACGTGACCGCCGTGGAAGCCGCGGTCACGTTATGCAAGTCTGTTCCATTTAACCGTTTTCTTTGACCAAGGAAGGACAGTGTCCTCGTAAGCAAGGCACCTGGCCTTGCAAGACATCTCCTCACAAGGCCAGGCGCCTTGACATTGAGAAACACCCCTACAGTTTCACCGTCTATTTTCTATCAGAAGCTAATGCATGAGATAGGTGTAGGAGACTATTTTCATGTTCCGCCTGCATGAAAAACAGAGTGACCGATTATAATCAAAAATAAGTTTTGAAAAATGTTTTTTCAATGCTCCACACCTTTACAGACCAGAGAAAAGGAGTGAGCGAGAGCTTTTATAAACACCAATCAGAGATCTGTAGTAGTGTTCCCAAAAACTGTCTCCCTGCACTGTGATCCTCTACATAAAATCATATGCATTGATTTTAATCATTTTAATATAAAGTATTTAATAGCTTATATATAAAAACAGCTAAAGACCCTTTTATTTAAAGCTGCTTTTACCAAAATCTTTTATTTTCTTATTTTTAACTCAAATTTGTAATCTTTCATCTGTTTATGAAATTTTATAATTGTATTACTTTATTTTTTCTGTTAATCTATTTCTGTTTTGAGATCATAATGATTGTATGACTTTGTTTTATTTTGTGTTGATCTAAGTGATTCTATGTCTGTGATAAGTGCTATAGAAATAAAATTTACTTACTTACTTATATGCAGTGAGAAAGTTTGAGCTAAAATTATTATTAATAATAACAATAAGGAGAAAATGCTTCTGATTATGAATTAAGTTTAAACATCCCATCTATACTACTCTACATTTTTCTACAAATAGATATGTTTTTCAATTAAAAATAAAAACATTCGCCATCCACATTAGTCTCACAAAACACTGAAATATCCCCAACAGACCAATAGGTGGTTTAGAAACAGATGTGTGTGTGTTGCATCCACACAGAGGCGCCAAAAACTCTTGCAACACATCTCCACTTTGCAAAATAATCAATTTTTGGTAGATATTGAGAAAGAATTATAGTAAGAATCTGCTAACACTTGTACCTGTATCAGGGACATCCTTCAACTTAATCTGTTACATATATAACGTTTTCTATATTTCTGCCCAATGGGTTTATTTTATTCTATTTCATCTCTATTGTCATAGTGTCCTTAGGTGTTATGAAAGGCGCTTTCAAATCAAATGGTTTGTTGTTGTTATTATTATTATTATTATTATTATTATTATTATAGTTTTTCTGCAGCATCAGAAATAAGTTACATTACTATTAAAAATGATGACAACAAATGTTTCAAACAGTATAAATAGAAAAAAAAATAACATCTGAAAAAGTTCCTTTATCCTAAAAACAACTCAGACACGCAAAGTTCTTCCAAACACGTCCTGACATTTAGTCAGCTTCACGTGCCAGCCAACCATTACTGCACTCAGCCTCTACTTGGCTGCTGCCTAAGCATTCCTGGGGTCTCCCTGGTCACTTCCATTAATGAGCGGCCGACCGGGGCTCCCGGCCAGCGTGGGGCCACCGCCTCACCACTCCAAAACAAATACACGGAGGTTCATTTAACCAAGCACACCCCTCAAGGCCAGGAGAACAGGAGAGCATGGGTGAGGGCAACATTAGCACCCCTGATACCAAAATAAAAGTTCAGAACGTTTACATGCCTTTTCTTTGCGGGGCAGTATTTGTGTTGGACGAAGACGAAATTTGAAATATTTTGCAAAAAATAACTGAAATGCTTTATGAAAGGAGGATGGAGTTATAAAAATGCATTTTTTTTTTGTTCTACAAGTACCTGAGAAGATAAGAACTGGCCGGATTGAGACGCCATTGTTACGACCTCTGGTTGACCTTCAAGCCATGAAATCTTCAAGGGGTTACCACTCAGGCCACTTTCATTTTTAACAGCCAGTTCCTAAAATTAAAAAAGTAATATTTAAACAGTGTAGCAGCAGATATGTTAGGACAAATTAAAAAAAAAAAGCTGATGAGGCATTTTTGATAGGCTCCAAATTTCCTTATGGCCAGATTGTTGTTGCTGAGTTCACAATCGACTCATCTGGTTAAATAAAGGTTAAATAAATAAATAAATTCTAATTGGATTGGGAAAATCAACAACTCAAGTATGACTTTATTACACCCAGCAGAAAACGTAAAGAAAACACCAGAGAAAACTGAGAGACAATCACAAAAATATGTGATGTTCTTCAGCCCAGTGGTTCAAATCAGCAGCGAAAACCCAACGAACGACTAAAACATTTATTCAGCTCAAAGACATAATCTTAATGCACATATGTGTCCTTTCAGTTACCAACCCAACCTTAACTGGAGTTTGACATCCTCTGCAAACACGTTTCACTGGAGAGGTCACAATTAACCAATCAGGACGGAGGGCGGTGTAAAACGTGGATACTTACTGCAGCTCTAAGGTTTGCAAACTCCACCACAGCACTTCCTTTCTTCTTACTGGATACCATCACATTCAAAACTTCCCCATACTGGAAAAAAATCACACAAAAAAGAAGTGAGGGACTGTTTTAAAGCAGAGAAATGAATTTATTTTTATTTCTTCTTCTTAGTTTAGATGTAAAAAAAAACTTTAAAAGGCCTCTTGTCATTAAAGTCTTCCATGTTAAAGTGTGAGTTTGATTCTTGGGAGAAAAAGAAAGAAACAATTCTGGGAACTGGAAAGTCCAGGAATGCTAAAGCTCACTGAGGACACGCTAAATCCAGCCAACAGTGACAAAGGAGACTCTCCAAAGGCTTCGATTTCATAAAATACAAATATCGTAACATTTTTGACCCCTTAAATAAAGATTTATTATCCTAAACTTCCAAAAAAAAAACACAAAACTCACGTACCCATGCAAGCTCACAAGCTTACTTTCCCATAAAGCAGAGGCTATTTCATCTAACACAACCCATTATTACCTGTCAGTCACTGCTTCTAGCCATCTCAAACATTTTTTTTTTTTTGTATTTTCTT